TCATATTACCATTTAATTTATTTTCATTGATTAAATTTAAAAAAATATCATCAGATTCTGATAATACCAACTTCCATGATAAACCTGATAATATATATGTTGAGATTGTTGTATTTTTTTGATTTGATTTTTGTGATTTAATCTGACAAAAATTTTTTCTTTCTACCTAATTTATAAAAATAAAATTTTAACTATATAATTGCATAAATAAAAATACTAAATAATTTATATATACCATATTTGTAATTTGTTCTATTATATTTTTTTATTTGTCATTTTGTAAGGAATCTTTACAAAATATTTATGTAAAGATTCATATGTTTCAGTTGTATATTGATTAAGGGAACCAAAATTTTTTATGGAGTCAATAAATAATATGGTACCTCCAATGATGAAGTTTTGGAAATCTAAGATTTGATTTAGAAAATTTGCAAAATGTGCAATTAAGCACTTTTCAGCACCATGGAATTTTTTCATTTCCACAGGTGAAAGCATCTTAAACATATTGGAAGGCTTTTATAAGGTAGACAAAACCTTCTTTATCTTCCCATCAAACCAGACTTGAATGTTACCATACAGCATCAACTGCTGATGAGAGTTGGCACTTGTGTGATGCTTGCTTTGTGCTATCTTCCCCCAGAATAAAGTTATAAGATGGGCATCTGCAGTTGATACAAAATTCTGCAACTGAGGAAGTTGCAACCTGGGTTGCTGTTTTGTCAGGGAACACCAACCCTAGGGAAGGAACAATTTGGGCAAAAACCCAATCCCTACTCTGTTTAAAAAACAATAAAATTGGTTAACCAAATTAAAAATTTACCAAAAAACAGAATTTCGAAAAATGATTAATTTGTACAGAACATACCAAAATTATGGCTTTTTTCTTGTTGGCCCTTTCCAAAAAGATTATTAAAAAGTGCAAAGAATTCCACTTTGTATGTCATTTAGTTGACAAAAATATTGAAATATATAATCTATAGGACAGAGAACTATTTGGGCAAAAGCCCAGTAATTATAAATTAGGTTAATATCAAGAGAAACAGAATAATTAATCTGTATAGAAGAAACACTATTTTACAGCTTTCCTCTTAACATCCAGGACCAAATGCAATTCCTAACACACTCTGAATTGTAATTTCTTCCCTGAGCTTGAAACAAGTTGCAGATTCTCTTAATATTCCTCCAGAGTTGCAACTTCTTAGTCTTGGATCAATCTTTATCCCAGAGGTAGGATCATTGCAGGCAACTTTTCAGCCTTTCTTTGGTCAGGTCCTGTGAGGGAAGAAGGTTAAGATTCAGATGCCTTCGACAATGATGTAGTTTGATAAATTCCAGAGCATAGCAACCCTCCCCTGAAAATTTAGTTGCATCATTGTATCATCGAGGGGTCGCAAGTCAGATTAGCCTTTTGTACATGAGGAATGTGTGAGAATGACTGTAAAGTATTCAAGTAGCATTGTGCCTTGACATCTGCCAATTTACAATTATGAAAATGTCACATATCGAATTGTTTCCCTTCCCTCCTCATCTGCAACAGTTGTATCGCCTTGACATCTTATAATTATTTAATATTAATATTAACATTGATTACAAAAAGCAAAACGATACCCATTATTATTATTATCAAGGCTTTTGTAATAAATACCCAAGAGACGACACTACACGTTCTGTTCCACAGTTTGATTTCGACAATATATATATATATATATATTTATATAAAATAATAAAAGATGCCATAAAACAATAAAATAAAAAATTATTTATAAAACAAAAAAAAGAATACCTCTGGTCGTCAATAAACAACACGTCTTCAGAAAACAACATTCACGGTTCCAAAAAACCAAGAAAATAAAAAAAAATTCAATTGTATCAACAACAATAACAATCTTCATACAACCATAATTATTATAATGAAGTCGTATACGCGTATTAGTATGTCGATCAAAATAAAATTTTTCTCTTAATTTTTTTAATAGAAATGCTACCAAAAGATCGAGTAAAAGCGATAAAAAGAAACCGAAAATCCGACAAAGGGAAAGCAGTCGAGTAAGTGTTTAAAAGAAGAATGGTGGTTGTTGCCACTTGTCGTAATTCTAGTTATTATTAAAAAAATTGTGGCGGAACCACTTGTTATTCTAATTCCTTATATTAAAAACTTTTCTTATAATAATGTATGAATGAAAAAGATCTGATAAACAATGAAAAACTGATTTTGCAGATGATGTAAGTAGTTAATAAATTTTACCTTTTTTGAATGATAATGCTGATTAAACAGTATTAGAGAACTTGCTTACTGCTTTCTAACACAGAGTATTTTGACAATAATATAACTTCCCACCATAGGAAAATGTATCAGATGAAATATCAGGAGTAGTGACAAATGAGGAAGAAGAAAAATACGGATCAGTGAATTTGTTTATAAATGGTCATAAGGTTCGAGATATTATAAATGAATGGCGTAAGACATCAAAGCATTCAATTGAATCACACAAACAAGAGTATGATATTTATTGTTATTTTGTCCTAGAAGTTTTGAGCAGTGAAAGTAACATTTAATGTATATTATTTAGCCTATTAAATTATAATATAATCGATACCATTAAGACCTCTCCAACCGAATCCAGATTATTATTTAAAGATAACTGGGATTCCATAGTAAACACAATCGAAGATATTTTATCAACACCCCCAGTAAATGACCAATCACATATAAAAGATTATATGATATCACTGTTAGGAAACACAGTAAGATCATTATCTGCTTGCAGGTGTTGTATATTCATTTCTAATTTTCATCTTTTGAAAAGTAGATTGAGCTGAAGGCGCTTGGTAATATTATTAGAAAAGAGAAAGCAAATATACATACAGATGAACAATGGAAAAAAAAGCCTTTGAAGTTGGTAGAAATAATGTAAGTACTTATTGACTTCAGAAATCTTCTTGATTACAATCTGACTAATCATACTGGCTGTTAACCTTTTTAAATAGTAAAGGACAATTGAAGGACCAACGATTGAGGTCTGGAAAAGATGAAACAGAATATCATTATACAATAAATTACATTTCAGATATTTTCAATACTCTTTTTAAAAACGATCTAAGAGCTAAACTATTAGATTTTAGATGGTAATTTCACTTCATATCCTTATCATTTAATTTGTTATCAACTTATTTAACCCACCATTTCAATAGGGAGAAGCACACTTAAAAGCTGCATCAATTTGTAACAATCATAGACTACTGGATGACCAGCGCAGAGACCACGGAAATAAGATTGACCTCATCATTGATCTGATTGATGTGCCTTTTGAGATTTCAATTATTGAGATCTCAGGATCTCCATCAGAACCTGACCACACACATTATGTGGGCGATAGAAATAAAATAGCAAAAATGCTTAAAATGATGCTAAACTGTATAATAAATAGGTACCTGGGTAGTCTGGAACATTTGAGAAAAGTAAAATTGTATGCAGGACAAATATATGGTAAAATTTGCTTTTTATCAAAACCAATCTTCTTTACCAAATACTAAAATAATTGCTTTTCCTCTCAGAGAATAAATTTTATGTATATTCTCTTAGTATGCCTTATCATGCATTGTACTATTTTAAATTAGAATATCGATCTGAAATTCCAACTGAAATCAGAATGCTCCATCGAGATTTACCTTCATTCATGCAAGATTTATTCATATTTAGAGTGAGTTATTTGATAAATAAATTTTTGAAATTTTTGAATTGTAAATTATGTAAATTTAACTTAAATTTTAAATTTTTCTTTAAAATGAAAATAGGAACTTATAAATTCAAGCAGTAAAAATATCTTGCATTATTTTGATAACAATGAAGATACAAGACGAATAAGCACTGGATAAACTGAATGATTTTTTTTTCTCAAAAAAAAAAAGTATAATGCTACGATTGTATAGCAATAAAGAAAGTAAATAAACAAAAAAAAATTTAATTAATACTAGTAGCAATATTTAATGCTAATAATTCAACGATGGTATTAACTGTAATCATTGGTAGTACCAATGTTCACTTTGTCTGGTTTTGTTGCAGTATGCCCCATATAGTTTACTGTAAATGTATTGTTGATATGAAAATAAACATACAATAGGAGAAATTATATAATATAATGCGGTCATAATTTATTCGTATTATTAATATTAATAATATGATGTGATGTGGTACAGAAAATTTCCCAATTTAGCAAGATAATGATCGTTGGCCATTATAGACAGTTATATAAAACATTAGTAGTCGCGGGACATTGCAGATCAAGTGTCATTCAATATAAACGTTACACAAATAAAATTATTATCGTCCACTTCAAA